AGAACCCTGTATCAAAGATTGATGCAAAACAAGTGAAATTGACTTTTTAGAGAGATTTAGCAAAAAGATACCACTTCTGGGGGTCGTTGGGTGGATTTGGACCTATTCTCTGGCCCCCCTTTGCTTCATTTTTGCTGATTTGACATCTTCTTTCTAACGTCAGAAGCCATGAGAAATGCGAGGGGAACTCCACATATAACTCATTATTTAAAGTATAGAGTGGGCCAATAGTCACGCCCCATCTACTTCCGGTCCATGGTACTTATTTCGGAAAATTATGCATTGGAGTCAATGAAGAGAGAAAACTATCTTTCATTCCCGTTTTGAATTGTTGCCCATGAATTACACATATGATGTATCAATCTTAAAAAAAAATCATTTCCATGTTCAAAAAAGTTCACAGTTTGTCTAAAAACTGTTGGAAATATTAAAGATATGAAAAAACGGCAACTAGAAAGACTACATACAAATGACTAGATGTCACATTGTATTTCTCACTAGAGATAGGCTAAAGAATTCAGCGCCATATGGATACGAATCTATCTATAATGATGCTGGGTTTAAGATTAAAGATAACTTTAACAAGATGCCTGTATGCTTGAGGATTAACCAGTTGTTATCAATACCAGCAATGGGGTACTTGGCTCGATTCTTTTCGCTTCCCGTCTGATGGAAAGAGAACCAGAGTGGACTGGATTCAAGTTAGCTTACCTTAGCTAGTAGCATAGCCACGCTTAGATATAAGCATTACAGGCCATGTCCATTTTTATTAGTCTTAACAATGGGGACAGTAACATTAAGTAACCCACATGTTCAAACAGTAGAGTTGTAGGTTAAATTATTCGTGTGATCATTCTTAATCACACATTAAGGACCAGGGGAGAAATGCAACCACAATTCGCTCTGCGATCTTACTTCACGCTATCTGCAATAAATGGTTAGCAATTTAAACAATTAAAACGAACAGGCAGTTCAGGAGAGAATCAAACGAAAGGCAGGCCAGGCAGGCTTTGCATGACCATTTCTTCTGAGGACGTGTTTCAATTGTGGTGATAGTGAGGGTAGACAATCCTTTTGTTGACAAGACCAGTAAGTTGACGGCATCTTGGTGACATCAAGTCGTGTTGTTCTAGCTAAACCCGGAGATGTAGTTTCCATTCAGCGAGTTACACAAACAAATGTGTTAACATTCCAGTTTTACGACACGTATTTTTTTTTTTACGCTTGGCAACAAATTATCTTTGAAATTGACCAAACTTCATAATGTGGTAATTTTTGTGGCCCACAAATTCAAACGGGATTGAAGATAATCTTTCTCTCTCCATTGACTTCAATACATAATTTTTCCGGAAATAAGGTCTCATGGAGGTCCACCGAAGGGGAGGGACTTCCGGCACTATGTGTGTGTGTGTGTGAAACTGACGGCATTAGACAAAACGGAATGCTGCCATAACTCTAGTGGCTACCATTAGCAGCTAAACTTTTTCTCTCCGATTTTTAAATAAACATTTAATTATGGTTATAAATGAAAAAAACACTATTCCACAGGAAACATTATCAACCTATGGATTAAACCTATTCAGCGCGTTTTTTTTCTCGTTGTAATTGAACAAGTCTTTTGATCAGATTGACAGTAGGGTGAGGACGATCCTCCCGTAAAAGCTACTTTAAAGGTACGTGTTGTGATGTCTCTGTGTTTGCTGTCCCCTGTCGCGAGTTCGGGATCACTCAGTGATTGGATATTAACCTAAATAATCTGTGGAACCTCAGCTTTAATCGATATTTCTGTGATGTGCAGCTAGCGATAAGTAATAAAGGTATCCTTTTATCTTGAGTTCTGTGCCAAAGTGCGCTCATGGTTCATTTAGTTGCTTCTTATGAGACTTGTGTTTTGTTTTGGTAAAAATTGTTTGTATCGTCAGTTAGCTGAGATTCTTCCCGTTAATCTGGTTTAACACATTAATAGGTTCTTAAATATTAAGATGCCCTGAGACACAGTGTTGTGAAAAAAAAAACCTCGGCGGGGGCTTTGGGGCTTAACAGGTTAAAAATGACCTCAATCACTTTGTTAAACGCTAAGGGAACATCTACCTCCAACCACCTCAGTGACCTCCACTGTGCTGCATCATCCGCACTTGTTTGGTGAGGCTGTTTGCTCAAATAGCCACAACCCCCCCTCCTCCCTCACCCTCAACGCTGCGTCCACACTTGCTGCCACACCGTCCTGGTAGCTTTTATTTAGTG